GACACCCATTGTTGCTCTCAGAAACACAGTTTAAGTTACGTTAATATTTGGAAAATAAGCACAAATGTGTCAGCCCTGAAATCCGAATTCATACAACAGCTTGCAAGTCTGTAATACAGAATCCGTACATAATGCCCACATAAGATACTCATTGGCTAGCTCACAAATGTTGAGCTAACCTAGTTAACAAGACGTTTGCCTTGTTTTGCCAAAATGTTTGTACCTTTTAGCAGTTTATTCCCTCAACTCGTGTATTGCCGTAACAATACTTTAAATGCAATACTAATAGCTAACAATCATCTGTTAAAGCTTTTATATTGCAGCTGATTGCTAACCAGCCAGCTAGCTAAGCTAATTCAATCAGGGAGCATCAGCCCCACATCTTCTGTTCATGAGTCACACACATCACCCACGTTTTTATCTACTGGATCTTCACCTTCAGTAAGTCCAGTCCCTGCTGGGGCAGATAGCAGAAACATGGCCTGGAGAAGGACTCCAATTCAGACAAAGTGGAGGAAAACTTAACTTACAACAAGTGAATAACGACATAAAAACAGAAATGGATTTGCCCGTCTTCAAGCCGCTGGCCTGCTTTTGGAGTTTAAAGAATTCCTTTGCACTTAAATCTGATCCACAAAAAACTTTTGTTGTTCTACTCGACATTTTTCTTGGTAATTTGAGTGTTTATCGGAAACTAAGGAGTCACCAACGACTTTGGAGGAGCTTTGTGGTGGTTTGTGTAATGAAATGCTGTATGTTTTTACTCCACAACCAGTTTAGTCATTAAGGACACATTTAGGTTGTTGAATGTTTCATCTCTTGCATCATCATGTGGAGTTCTGTCAGTGCAAATTCCCTTTTTATCTGTGAGATGGGGACACAGTCTGTGTTAAAGAAAAGTAAAGCAGTGCGGTTTGGTTTTGGTAAAACTCTAATGATCGTCAGTTTTCTCGATTGGTCCCATGTGAGCTGACCATGGTGGTCATGCGCATATAGGTGGGTCCTGATGGGATTTAAATGGGCTGATGTGCACACGGCCAGACCACAGAAACAAACCCCAGCGACGGGGTCGCTATGGACAATCAGTCAACCAGCTGGAGCCGCTCTCTGGCCTCCCAGACCCACATCGGGCTCATTTGCACACAGTGGAAGGTCATTTCTGTATCGTCTAAACCCCACAGAAGGACCTGGAGCTATGAACCGGTTCAGCTGTTTCTCCTGGTTTTCTCTCACTATCCTAGTGTGTGAGACGAGAAGTCGTCTCACACACTATTAAAGTGGTGTCAATCAATGAGGGTAAAAGCATGAAACTCCCAGGATATTCTCCTTTCCCACACAAATGAGGCTGTCATGCTGACATCTGAGGTGCTGACAAAGAGCCTAAAACAGAATTACAAATACTAGCAACAAAACGAACCAAACAAAAGCACTTTCAAATCTTTAGAAGATGGAATGAGGCTTTTATCCAGCTGTCAGAACATCAGTGGTGACATTTAAGCTCTTCAGTCAGAGAACTAGTGGAGAGTGGAGAGAAAACCCTGAACATCTGGCTCATTCCAGGCACCTTTTAAAGGGGTAGAGGGCGGGAATACTGTCAGAAATGGGAATCAGGGTTAAATGTTATGATGTTATATTGTGTCATATAATGAAACAGTTCAATGCAATTGTGTTGAATATAAGAAACGTTAATTTATTTTCATATTTTGTCAGGAGATTAGAAACAAATTAGAATAGATTACAGAGTTGAAAGAAGATTGGAGGATTTATTTTAAAAAGATGTGTGTGTTTGTGTGTGAGTGTGATCATCCAGTAAAGGGAAATTAGAGTTTGATACCAACTTGTCAGTAGTGATTAGGAACTTTTATATGTGGACAATTATCGCTGACGTAAAAGTATATTTTATTAACATGGTAGATTTGATATATTTTCTGGTTTCTTTTGCCTTGAGTAGATTTGCTTCTCACTGACATTTTGCTTTGTTAGTGGTCAGTGCATACATGTTAGCAACTGTTAGCAACTATTGCTGTGGTCTAGACTTAGCATGCTAACACCGGATCAGCACAGAACAAGCGATTGACAGCCCTATCCCATCTCATGTTTTTTTATCTTTATTTTTTAACAAAAATAGTTCAGAAAAAGATGCTAAACCTGTGACCATCTTACATAGCTAATCTGTGCTAAGATAACAGGCTAACCACTAGCTAGTCCCCAGACGGTCAACTGTTAGCAACTATAACTGTGTTCTAAACTTAGCATGCTAACACAATCATTTTTAAGAGGCCCTCCCAACAACTCAACCCATATTTTGAAATATTTTTTTTTGCACAAAAAAGGTCAGAAAAAGATGCTAAACCTGTGACCAGCTTACATAGCTGACCTGCGCTAAGCTAACCTGTGACAGGCTAACCACCAGCTAGTCCCTAGACGGTCAGCTGTTTGAAACTATTGCTGTTGGCTAAATTTAGCATGCTAACACAACTATTTTTCAGAAGCCCCCCCCCCCAACATCTCAACCCATATTCTTCTTAAATATTTTGTTTTTGCACAAAAAAGGTCAGAAAAAGATGCTAACCCTGTGACTAGCTCTATATAGCAAACCTGTGCTAACTAAGCTAACCTGTGACAAGCTAACCAGCAGCCAGTCCCGTGAGTAGCCTCGGTTGTATATCCAACTCCTCCCACATCCAAGTCGGCCATTTTGATTGACAAGCAGCTTTCTCAGGTGGAAACGAAACTTTACTATCTATACGAAATCGGAAGACAAACGATGTCCTAACCCTAACCCTAAACCTAAACCTAACCCTTAACCTAACCGTAATCCTAATCCTAACCGGCCACCCTTCATAATTGTGAGAACTAAATATTTTTTGGTCAAATTTGTTTGGACTTATTTAACATCCACTATTTTAACATAATATTATGGATAGAGTTTAATTCAGTGTTTGCAAGATTCATTTCACTATTTTTAAATTAATGTCTATATTAATGTCTATATTACCATTTTCTTGCCTGGGACCTTCCTATTGGTGTCCTAATCAAAATGGCCGACTTGGATGTGGGCGGAGTTGGATATCCATCCTTGGCTGCAGCGAGATGTACTTGAGTCCCGTTGGTCCAATCAGAATGACACAACTTCTGAGGCCAGAACTGAAAACCAAAGATAATTCTGAAAAAGGGAAATATGTGTACGACACCTGTGATTTCTTGACTCTAACTTAAAGTGCTGCCGACCTTCAGCCAACATGTTGTTTTCTTCCTGTTAAAGCACCTTTCGCCCAGTGGGTCCCGTGTTTCTCGTCCCTTGTGGGGCTCATGGCCACACTTTGGACCCGCTCTGGACCAGCTGGGGGCGCCGGCCCTCTGTTTTACCTTCCTCTGGTGACGTGCAGAGTGTATTTAAATAAAGACTGAGCGCCTGTTCCAGCTGTGTCTGGTGTCCTGCTCCTTCACGTTCGTCGTGTTCCGATTCGGTGCCTTTTGGGCCGGAAACTGTTCTGAAAAGATAAAAAGCCGCCTCTTGACTCCTGACTCCACGCCAACCCTGTTTCCCTCCATCACGCAGAACAGACCAGGCGCCTCAGCCGTCCGTCGCCATGACAACCAGACTGACAGCGCTCCGCGCGTCACGCCCGCCGCTCGCACCTCGCCGCCGCTTCGCGCGGCTGTTGCCATGGCGCCCGCCACTCCAAGCAGCATCTCTGGGCCTCGTCGTCATGGCGACGGGCTGGCAGCGCTCATTCGCAGACGGTCAGCTGAGGAGTGGATGAATCAGAGTCAACTCATAAATACAATACTGATGATTTATAATGATGTGTATTCATATAATAATAATACTCAGAAACTGACCTGGAACCTGGACACACAGTTGCTGGTGACTGGTGGTTGTGCGCGTGTGTGTGTGGTGGGGGGGGGTTGGTCTGAGGAGGCCTGGACCGGGTGAGAGGTCAGAGGCTGCCCTCTGCTGGCCAGAAGCTGCATCCCAGCCAAAGAGGCTAGGATGCAATCTAATATAAAGTAATCCAAACTACAATAATGAAAACTAATCTTGTATAATTTAATCTAGTCTAATCCAAGCTAAACCAATCTAATCTAAATGATCCATCCATCAATCCACCCATCAATTATCCACCGCCTATCCGGGGTGGGGGCGCGGGGGCAGCAGCCTGAGCAGGGAGACCCAGACTTCCCTCTCCCCGGCCACTTCTGCCAGCTCCTCCGGGGGGATCGCGAGGCGATCGGGACTAGAGGACCAGGCCAGCCGAGACACATAGTTCCTCCAGCGTGTCCTGGGTCTTCCTCTGGGCCTTCTCACGGGTCTTGGGTCTCTCTCTGGGCCTTCTCCCGGATGGCCGAGCTTCTCACCCTATCTCTAAGGGAGAGCCCAGCCACCCTGCGGAGGAAACTCATTTCGGCCGCTTGTATCCGGTATCTCGTTCTTTCAGTCACCACCCAAAGTTCGTGGCCGTATACGAGGGTGGGAACGTAGATCGACCGATAAATTGAGAGCTTCGCCTTTAGGCTCAGCTCTCTCTTCATCACGACAGACCGGTACAGCACCCGCATTACTGCAGACGCCGCACCGATCCTTCTATCGATCTCACGCTCCCTACCCCCATTCGCAAACAAGACCCCGAGGTACTTGAACTCCTCCACGTGGGGAAGGACGTCCGCTCAGACCTGGAGAAGGCACTCTACCCTTTTCCGGTGAGAGACCATGGTCTCGGACTTGGAGGCACTGATCCTCATCCCAGCCGCTTCGCACTCGGCTGCGAACCGCTCCAGTGAGAGCTGTAGGTCCCGACTTGATGAAGCCAACAGGACCACATCATCTGCAAACAGCAGAAATGCGATCCTAAGGCCATCAAGACTGACACCCTCAACACCTTGGCTGCGCCTACAAATCCTGTCCATAAAAGTTATGAACAGGACCGGAGACATAGGGCAACCTTGGCGGAGTCCAACTCCCACCGGAAACAGATTCCGACTTACTACCGGCAATGCTAACCAAACTCTGACTCCAGTCGTACTGGGACCGAACAGCCCGTAACAAAGGGCCAGGTACCCCATACTCCCGGAGCACCCCCCACAGGATACCCAGAGGGACAAGGTCGAACGCCCTCTCCAAGTCAACAAAACAAAGACTGGTTGAGCGAACTCCCATGCACCCTCCAGGACCCCGCTGAGGGTATAGAGCTGGTCCAGCGTTCCACGGCCAGGACAAAAACCACACTGTTCCTCCTCAATCGACTTGACTATCCGACGGACCCTCCTCTCCAGAACCGCTGAATAGACCTTCCCAGGGAGGCTTAAGAGTGTGATCCCCCTGCAGTTGGAACACACCCTTCGGTCCCCCTTTTTAAATAGGGGGACCACCACCCCAGTCTGCCAATCCAGCGGGACTGCCCCTGATGTCCACGCGATGTTGCAGAGTCGCGTTAGCCAACGCAGCCCCACAACATCCAAAGCCTTGAGGAACTCCGGCCGAATTTCATCCACCCCCGGAGCCTTGCCACCGCGGAGCTTTTTAACTACCTCGGTGACCTCAGCCCCGGAGATTAGAGAGCCCAACTTCAGATCCCAGGGCTCTGCCCCTCCATTGGAGGAAGCGCCATTGGGGTTGAGGAGGAACGTGCTCGAAGCTCTCCCGGAGGTGGTAGTTAAAGCTCCGCCTAACAGGGGACTCCGCCAGGCGCTCCCAGCAGACCCTCACAATGCGTTTGGGCCTCCCGGGTCTCACCGGCATCCTCCCCCACCATCGGAGCCAACTCACCACCAGGTAGTGGTCAGTGGAAAGCTCCACCCCCCTCTTGACCCGAGTGTCCAAAACATGCGGCCGCAGATCGGCTGAAACGACAACAAAGGGCTGCGCTTCGTCTGATCCCTCACCTAGGACCTGTTGGCCTTGGGTGACCCTACCAGGGGCGTGAAGACCCGGACAACATAACTCCTAGGATCACTGGGACACTCAAACCCTTCCACCACGATAAGGTGGCAGCCCTTCATAATTCGATCTCAATGACGACTGTTCAAATGTGAAACTTTTTCACGTTAATTTTGTCCCAATTTTTTCTGATCGCAAACAGCAGACTCAATAAAAAGGCTTCATAATCCAACAAAAACACAGTTTTACTGCACACACTCATAGACTTAACTCTCCCGTCTGTTCGTGTTGAAGGTGCTGACTTAAAACATGACAGGAGGCGCTTCACAAAGTCCATATAAATTTATTCTGTAGGAACAAAAGCCATCAGAGGGAGCAGGAAAAGCAGGGTCAGCATCCCGGAGAAGCCAAAGAACCAGAGGCCTCCCCAGAACTCCACAGCTCTGCAGAGGCGGAGCCAAAGCTGGAGCCCCCTCATACCTGTGGAGCCCTTTGGCTCCACTACTGCTCCGTGCGATGAAGTAAAAAGGTCCCTTTTTATCCACAGACTACAATAAAAACACACTTTTAGAGTCCAAACTGGCACCAGCAGCAAAAGAAGGAGTTTCCAGAGCAGAGAAATGATTTGAAATGATTTCAGACACAGCAACGGAAAACCTGAACACCACAAACCAGTGAAATCTCTTTTTCTGCCGCATCGTTTATGGCTTCTGGTCCCAGACCAGACCAGACCAGACCCAAACCAGACCAGATCCAGACTAAACCCAGACCAGACCCAGACCAGACCCTGACCAGACCCAGACCAGACCCAGACCAAACTCCGACCTGGAACCGGACCGGACCGGACCTGACTGGACCAGACCAGGATCATGCTCCACCCCCCACACAAACTCCACTCAAGTCAGTAAACATCCCTCTAATGTTCCCTAAATGTGCCGTTCACCCCTTCATCCCTCTAATGTTCCCCAAATATGCTGTTCACCCCTTCATCCCTGTAATGTTCCCTATGTGTGCTGTTCACCCCTTCATCCCTCTAATGTTCCCTAAATGTGCCGTTCATCCCTCTTATGTTCCCTAAATGTGCTGTTCATCCCTTCATCCCGTTAATGTTCCCTAAATGGGCAGAGCCCCCCCCTCTAAAAGGGAAAATAAGGGGGGAAAAAAGGGGAACGAAAGGATAACTAAGGAGGATCTAAAAGGGAAAATAAGAAGGGAACTAAAGGGGAACTAAAGAGAGCTAAGGAGGATCTAAAGGTAATCAAAAAGGGAACCAAATGGGATCTAAAAGGGAACTAAAGAGGATATAAAAGGGAACTAAGGGCAATATAAAAACGAACTAAAGCAGATCTAAAAGGAAATTAAAAGGGGAACCAAAAGAGAAGTAAAGGGAACTAAAAGGGAACAAAAGGGGATCTGAAGGGGCTCCCTGAACAGGTTTAAGGCCTCACAGGTGGGACAGGATCCAGTCCTCTGACCTCCTGGACCAGCTGCTGGCCGGAGAGACCAGCTCCTCGCCGCCTCGCCGTCAGGCGCTCGCCGCCTCGCCGTGGGCCTCCAGCAGGTCGTGGCTGAGCAGGGCCTCGGTGAGGGAGGGGGGGCGGGGGTCCAGCCCCCCCTGCTGCTCCACCAGCTGCTGCAGGAGCTCCTCCCACTGCCGCTTAGCCCGGCCCGTCTGCCAGCACAGCCGCACCACGGCCTGCAGCAGGGGCAGCAGCAGCGGGTGGGGGCGGGGCCTGTCCGTGGGGGCGGGGCCTGTCTGAGGAGGCGGGGCCTCGGCGGGCGCCAGCAGGCGCAGGGCCTGGTCGCAGTGGTCCCGGGCCTCCTCCAGCTGGTTGGCCTCCCGGAAGCAGCAGCTCAGCCCCGCCAGGGTGAACAGCCAATGGGAGGAGGCCGGGGGGGCGGGGCCGGCCCGGCTGCCGGGGCAACCGGCGCCGCCCAGTCTGTGCTGCAGCCTCTTGGCGTTCAGCAGCGGCGCCAAAGCCTCCTGGAACCGGCCGGCCCTCCGGGGAGACACAGGACGGGTGAGAAACTCCAGCTGCCCCCCCTATCCTCCACCTGCCCCCCCTCCCTCTCCTCCACCTGCCCCCCCTCCCCCAACCTGCCCCTCCACATCCCGGTACCTGATGAGCTGCTGTCCGGCCTGCAGGTCTCTCAGGTAGAAGAAGTCCCTGAGGCAGGGCGCCCCCCGCAGGCTGAGCAGGGAGCACAGGTGGGACAGGTACTGCTCGAAGGCGCGGCTACGCCTGCCGATGGTCTCGGAGGTGAAGTTCCTCCTCAGCTTCTTCCCTAAAGGGCAGACAGAGTCCCTGAGCCGCAAGCAGCTGTGTTAGCAAACCACACGCCGCTCTGTTAGCAAACCAAACGCCGTTCTGCTAGCAAACCCTTAGCAATTAAACTAGCAAACCACACACTGATCTTTCTGCAAACCGCACGCCGCTCTGTTAGCAAACCAAACGCCGTTCTGCTAGCAAACCCTTAGCACCTCTGTTAGAAAACTGCACGCCACCCTGCTAGCAAACCGCACGCCGCTGTGCTCACGTGGGAAGCTGACACGCTCCATCTGGTCGCCGTGGTGACGGCGCAGGGCGGCGTGAAGCTTCTGGAAGTCGGAGTAGCGGCGGCTGATGACGGCCGGGGTTTTATCGCTGCCGCCAGACTGGATCACATGGATGGTGTAGAGCTGTAGAGAGACGAGAACCAGATGACATCCTGAGACCAGGACCAGGACAGACCAGGAAAGAGGACAAGGTGACCAGGAGAGAGGACCAGGAGACCAGGACAGAGGACCAGGACAGAGGACCAGACCAGGACAGACCAGAGGACCAGGACAGAGGGCCAGATGACCGGGATCAGAGAACCAGGACTGAGGACCAGGAGAGACGACCAGGACAGAAGACCGGGACCAGAGGACCAGACAAAAGGACCAGGACAGACCAGGATAGAGGACCAGGACAGAGGACCAGGACAGATGACCAGGACTGAGGACCAGAC